ATTATTCGGTTATTTTTTCTTTGAGAAATAAACTATTGAAAAAGTGACAAAGACTTTCCCGCCAACCTAATATATTTTGGAACTAAATGCAAGCCCATGAGTTTCTATTTTCAGATAGAAGGAAACATTTCTCATCAAATTCTCACCGCTGGATAAAAGTTTCGGGTTAATCAGCTGGAACGGCAAACACGACAGTTTTTAGATAACAGAGAACATAAATAGACCAAAAAGACGCTTTACAAATTTTCAAAAAATTGGTTTCAGAAGACAAAACAAATATTATAGAATATGTTAAAAAAATCTGATATAGTTTAAAAACATTCACACCTCTCTTAAGAAGCGAATTGTCAGAACAGGTGATTTTTCTCTCAAATCTGATTTCCTACAGAATATGAAAATTTTCACCTATTTCAGAATCACGTGTGTGACAGGAATCACAAAAAGAGAAACTCATTTTTGTTGTAGTCAGTGTAAAACAGATGAATCTGGATATAGATTTCTCTGAGCCCCACTGGCTTATAATCTATTACGATGTCATTGGAATTATTTCTTTTTTTCTTAACACTCTTGGCATTTATCTTCTAGTTTTTCATTGCAAAAAACTAGGAAAATTCCGTCACTATCTGTTAGGATTTCAGATTGTGTGCACTTTGTTCGATATTCATTTCAATTTTCTCACCAAACCAGTTCCCCTGATCCCTCTCATCAGCTATTTTTCGGTGGGCGCCCTGTCAACCTATTTTGATGTTCCTACTCATTACTGTATAGTAAGTAATGAAAATGTGATAATTTGATAAAATAAAATATTTGAGATGGTTTGCGGTTTCCTTGCCGTTATACAGTTAGAAGTCCTTGTGATCTGCTTCCAGAAAAAGCATCAATCGATTACCGAAATATTGAAATATCACATGCTCCCTGATCCATTAAGATTCTTCGGCTACACACTATGTGTTATTGTTCCATTTAGTCTCTGTGGAACCCTTCATTATTTCTATACCTCTCATGAGAAACAATTAGAATACATAGAAACGGTATGATATAGAGAAACGTTGAAATCATTTATGAACTTTTTAGAACTTCCCAAAGTTTCTTTCTGGGTTTTCAAGCTTATCTCATTTCGTGATGTATATTCTGAAGGATTCTGATATGTATTGGTTCATTGGTGTTTTCATGTCCGGAGCGACAACACTAGCAATTCTCTTTCTATGTTTTATTTGTATTTTTCATCATTGACATTCTTCGAATGATGTCTCTCTTGAAACTCAGATTATCTACAGTTACTTATCAAAAACATCATGAAGCCATTCACAGTTTACTGGTTCAATTTATAACATCAACTTTCTGTTTATGTCCTCCATGTATTTTGGTGGCAATTGTGTATTTGGATGTTCCAAATGGTCAAAGTATTCTCAAGTTTTTGATTGCCTGGTTCACCAGTCATTCCTCTGTGAATATGATGTCTCTATGTTTTTTCTTCCCACCTTACCGGAAATTTTTTGTACAGCAAACTGATAAGTGAGTTTCGAATTTGATGAGAAATGTATCCTTCTATCTGAAAATAGAAACCCATGGGTTTTTATTAGAGAAAGTACGGTATCCTCACTTCCACTTGCATTTAGTTCCAAAATATACTTCAAAATCTTCCAGAAACCGATGACGAATTGCCGCCACAGCATCTTCAGTGTTGTTTTAAAAACGGTGTCGAATGTTGCAATGAAGTAAAAAGTTTGAATTCTGTCTGATCCCTTACTCCAGATGAATATTGATTTTTCTGAACCCCGTTGGCTTATTATCTATTACAATGTGATTGGATTCATTTCTTTCTGTGTTAATTCTCTTGGCATTTATCTTCTGATGTTCCACTTCAAAGTACTAGAGAAACTCCGCCACTATCTATTAGGATTTCAAATTGTTTGCACTTTATTTGCTACCCCTCTTTACCTTGTCTTTACTCTCTCATGTACCCCCAAGGTTCTTGGCTTCACCTGATCATAATTTGATCCATAGATTGCCTCATTATACAGTGCGGTCAATATCTATACGACACACCTATATTTTGGGCGCACAGAAAAAAACTGGAAAAGATATTAAGAAACGGTTGACGCCATTCAATTCACAATCGAAAATAACCACAGGAGACAACGTTTCACATCTTTACCGTTTTTCTTGACCGCGTACCATCCGAAAAGCGATTTGGCAAGCGGTCAAAACCTATACGACACCCTGGAAAATGAAAAATCTCACGGTTATTAAAGAGCAAAACTGAACTTTTTTGTTGGAAGATGTTAAAATACTCCTAAAACAACCTATTTTGACAGTTAATACAAAAATAGATTCTTCCGATCCAGTTTTAGATTAAAATATTTTCAGACATTTTCATCATTTTTTTTGGGTTTTTGGAATAAATCTTGAATAGTTGGCTTTTGGATAAGATTTCGAGCTGAAAATGATAAAAAATATTTTTGCAGTCGTCTAATTTATGTACTGGCTATTGTTATAGTATTCTGAGCCTTTGTTTGTGATTGAAGCTCATCTGAAATTTGAAAAATGAACCTTGAAATTAGGTGATTCTGATTTTTGTAAAATACTTGATTTTACGATTGAAATTTAATTTTC